GGGGCGCTTTCGGCCCTCGAAGAGCTCGGAAAGGAACCGCTCTTGTTGCTACACTCCTCTTCTCGTCTATCTCCTCCTTCTGGCGCCGAGGGGGGGAGAGGTCTGGCTCCAGCCTTCTGCTTTGTGCGGCTGCTGGCGACAGTGCGTCCTATGGGGCGGGGGACCCCGCCCGCTCGAAGCAGTGCCCAAATCCGTGCTTGCACAGGTGAGCGTTTTTTATTCGGCATTTCGACATTGAACGGAAAGGGGGGGGGGGAGGGGGGAGCTCCAGACTGGATGAGGGTGGGGCGCTTTCGGCCCTCGAAGAGCTCGGAAAGGAACCGCTCTTGTTGCTGCACTCCTCTTCTCCACTCTTCGTCCTCTCGTTTCATCCTCCTCTCATCCCCCCTCCTGCTCCGTCTTCCTCCTTCTCCTTCCGGCGCCGAGGGGGGGGGGGTCTGGCTCCAGGCCTCTGCTTTGTGCGACTGCTTGCGACAGTGCGTCCTATGGGGCGGGGGACCCCGCCCGCTCGAAGCAGGCGCCAGACACAGCCAAGATCTACTCTATGGGGGGGGGGGAGGCTTGGGGGAGGTCTGGGGGCCCGCGCCGATCGGCAATACGAGGAACAACAAACCGATCCACGGCAGTGCCCGATGACGTGCTTGCGCAGAGCTCCGCTGCCGAGTGCCTGCCTGTAACCAGCCTCGAACGTATCCCTACCCCTGAGATGGGCGAGCAAAGAGCGAGGACACTCTTAGGGGTAGGCCCTCAAAAAATAAGGGAATCCCTGAGATTGGCATCGTGATGGAATGCCCAGCATAGGGATAGGGATATGTTCCAGGCTGGTAAGCCTGGGAGGAGTAGGAGGAGGAGGAGTAGGAGTAGGAGTAGGAGGAGTAGGAGTAGGAGGAGGAGAGGAGGAGGAGGAGGAGGAGGGGTGGGGAAGGGGGAGGAGGAGGAGGGGGAGGAGGAGGAGGAGGAGGAGGGAGGAGGAGGAGGAGGAGGAGGAGGAGAGAGGTGGAGGAGGAGGAGAGGGAGTAGGAGGAGGAGGTGGGGAGGATGCCTGCCTGGGCCCCCCTCGCGCGCCGCCCCGCGCCCGCTCCGTGCGCCCTCCCCCGGCCCGGCTCCTCGGCCCCGCCGCCCCGCCCGCGCCCCTGCGCCGTGCGGCCGGCGGGAGACCCCTGGCCTCCGCCCCAGAGTGAATGGAGGAAGGAGGGAGGAGAGGAGGAGGGAGGAGGGAGGAGGGAGGAGGGAGGAGGGAGGAGGGAGGAGGAGGAGGAGGAGGGGGAGGGGGAGGAGGAGGAGGGAGGAGGGAAGAGAGGAGGGAGAAGGGAGGAGGGAGGAGGGGGCCCTGGGACACACACAAAAATAAATGCAGACAAACAAAAGGGATTCCCCACATTTTCCCATATTCTCTGGGCTTCTGTCTCTTCCCCCCCACTTCCCAAATATTTTCCGGGGAGTCGACGGCTCACTGTGTCTGTGTGTTTTTTTGTTCCTCTCCTGACAGAGGTCGAGCAGGGACCGACCGTCCCGGCAGTCCTGTGGGCCTACCGCGGCAGGCTCTCGGAACCCAGACATGAGCTCAGAACAAAAAACAGTGCCCTCAGAACCCAGACGTGTTCTCAGAACCCCAAAAACAGTGTTCTCAGAACGTGAGCCCGATGTGTGTTGACACAGGACCGTCTGTGCCAGGAAAGGCCCGAGAAGATTTCTCGTCCAGACCACCCAATGGCTCTCAGAACCTTCTTCCTTTTTGGAGGCTCATAGGCAAACCAGGACGCTTCACCGCTGCTTGACAGTCGGGAGCGGCCAAGAGGGGGGTGTCCAAGAGCGGGGGGTGCAAAGCATGACCGGCGGCATGTGCGCGGCCCAGCGGGGGGGCCAGGGACGCAATGAAAAAAGAAGAGGCGCCATGAGATCTGGGGAAATACCATGGCCCCCGCCCTGACATCCCCCCCCCTAGTTATCACCCTCCTCTCTTCTTCGCCGCCCCCGAGACAGGGAGGCCCCCGACACGCCCCGGAGAGGCCGGCGCAGGGCCGCCCTCGGAGGCGCATAGCGCGAGAGAGAGAGGGGGGAGCGCAGGCGGCCGGAGGCGCCCGGCGCCGAGTTCTCGGAACGGCGCCGGGGCCGCACGCCCCCTGCCCCCCCTGGGGGCGGGCGGCGCTCCGTCGTATCCCGAGTCTCCACGTGAGGGGGCTCGGAGACACACAAAGAAATGCACACACAAATCCCAGCATTCCCTATATATTTTCCATGTTTTGTGGATTTTCGTCTCCCCCCCGACTTCACACATTCTCCCGGGGATCGACGATTAATCGTGTCTGTGTTTTTTTCTCTCCCCTCCTGACCCAGGGGTTCCTGGAGGGTCCTCTCGCCACTGCGCCAGCTGATCTTTGCACGCAGGACGCGGATGGATGGATCGGATGTTTGCTTGAGCACTGGAACAGCACCAACGTTGACGACTTCGAGGGCTTTCGAGTAGAAATGCCCCATATGTATGGCATCACATCGGGAG